AGACCTGTCTCTCCTGATTTCAGAATTAGCGCGCTTGTTTACAAACAAGAGAAAAGTCCGGTCACGTGATATGCGAATTAGCCTGTGGCAGTGGTGTTATGCTGAGTCGCCACTGCGTCGGAGTGTAGTTGTGATGTCATACGTCAACATTATTGGTTATATTTGGTCATTCCTTTCAGGGGAAGGTCGATGAAACAATTATGTTGTGTCTGGTGTAAAATAAATAAAATTAACTAGCGTTGATTAATAATGAGTTGTATTTATTTTTTATGGAATTGGAACTACTTTGGTTTGCGTAAGTGTGAAGAATATATCCGCTAGTGGGCTACTGCATTCCAGTGTCACCGGTGACGTAACTCGCCTAAAATGTGCGTCACTGTAAGAATGGCATCCCTTAAACTTCACAATACGATAATATACACTCTTTAAAAAAAAGAAGTAGTATGTAGTTCATTGAACATGACTACACAAAACTACACAAAAAATTCGGTATATAAATAAAATAATTATTGGATATATGTTATTCGAAAATGTTGGTGGCCTGATATTCGACAAACGGTGCGTCAAAACGCAGCCATTGTCGATTTGCAAAGTATTAAACGGCATTGTTAAAAAATGTCATGGAGAAAAACATTAAAGCATAATGCACGCGCAAGTTATGGCATTCGTAGCTCGTTGTAGTGGCTATAAAAATGCAAGCATAAGCCATAATCTGTCATTTAATTGTCAACATTTTTCAAGTTCGAAAATGTCGAGACAGCGCTGCCGATCGGAACACCGCCATAGGACGTATACAAAGAGGGGAATCGCAGCCTTCTGTTGAGCGCCACTTCAACGTCCACCACAGCACCATGTGCCGCCTTTTTTACCGATACACACAGTTCAATTCCACTGCAGGCCGTCCGAGAACCGGCCGACCAAGAGTTACCACACCTGAACAGGATCGCTACATTCGACTGTTCCACATACGTCATCGCAATGCCACAGCTACGGAGACTGCAGGACGCATCCCTGGTTTGAGGTGGATACCGGACCAGACTGTCAGGAACTATCTTCGCGAGGCTGGAATCCGACCCAGGAGACCAGTTATCGTCCCTGTTTTGAAACAAATCCATCGACAGCGAAGCTTGCGTTGGTGCCATACCTTACTGTCTTGGAATTTAAGAAACTGGAGACGAGTGAGGTTTAGCGATGAATCACGATTTCTACTTCCCCGGCGAGATAAAAGACAACGTGTTTATCGTCGTCGAAATGATCGTTTTATCCCACATTGTGTACGTGAATTTGACAAATTCGGTGGCGGTAGTGTCATGGTGTGGAGGGCTATATCCTACACCACGAGATCTGACTTGGTTGTGGTCCAGGGAAATTTGACATGAATCAAATTCTTCAACCTAACCTTCTTCTTAACATTGACCGCCAGAAGGAGCTGTTTCAACTGAATAACGCGCCACCGCACACAGCTCGTGTCACGATAAACTACCTTCATACTGCCAACATCAACGACTTGCCCTGGACGTCGATATCTCCAGATCTCAATCCAATCGAACACCTCTGGGATGAACTATATCGACGTGTGCGTCAACGTCAGAACACGCCGCAGACACTCCCACAACTGGCCAACGCGTTACAAGCAGAATGACGCAGAATTCCGCAGGACAGAATTCGTACACTTATCCAGTCAGTGCCGAGGAGATGCAGAGCCGTGATTGCTGCCCGGGGCGGTCACACGAGATACTGAGTTCAGCGCAACCTTGTGGCCTTATGTGACATGACAATTAATAGTTTTCAATGACTTTGTACAACGACAACATGTGACTATCGAGCTCCAAAGTTTCATTATTTGTATCTATGATATTTAATTAATTATATCGATTTTATTAGGTAATAAATTTACTAAAAATCTACCTGTGCGTTTCTTTTTTTTAAGAGTGTATATATTAATGAGTATGAATTCAACTATACATCCACAGCCGCGGCTAGCTTGGTGTAAGGGACGCCATGGGATAAAAAAATGAAGAGAATTAACTGGTACTGGAGAAAGACGGGTGTTACCTTGTTGATTATAGTAAACACAGCGTGGTAACCATTTACCGCTTGAATATGTAAAGTCAGTTTTCCGATAAAAAAAAGAAGGTAATATTACCGCAAGGATGTAATCTGAACTCAAGACTCGAGCAATATCTTCTCACGGATCTACACACAACACAGCGGCTGTACGTCTCCACCTCCACGAGCGCTTCAAATGTTAAAGTCTTAAATAGCATGAACTTATAAAAATACCTTACTGTTAGAAATTAAGCTTCATGTTTTATAATGACTCTCAAACAAATATATCTCACTATATCGAAAAACTAAATGTTTTGATTATAACAGGAATGATTGTGTACATATTACGTTGTCTTCAACATGGGAAATGTGGACAAAGTTTTAATTTTAAACCTATTTTTTAAAGAACCATGTGACATATTAATCAACCATAGTTGGTTTCCTTCCTCTGCACTTCAGAAGGCGCCGTTTTCACATTTAATCCGTCATTTTTTATATAAAAAGTTCATTTTCCTGATGTTAAGAAGTCAAATTATCGGTACAATGTCCAGCATGTGTTGATATCATCTATTTCCTTAAAACATCCAAACATCAAATTTTTTTTTAAATATTTATGAAAATTAAAAGCCTCAGTAGAGCTTTCAAAACGTTTATGGTACACACGTGGAGGACACTTTCAAATTTGACGCATCACTGACAAAAAAAGATGTCCGGCGTAATTCCCTATTTTAACTTGTACCATATATTTCACGTGTTTTTTTCGGGTGAACGATCGACTTGCCTTTGCATGTGTTTGTTACAGGTACCACCGCTACGACAGGCTGCGCTCACCTTTTCGTGAACACCTGGTTTCATCACAATGTGATAGTGATTCATAAACACGTGCTCGTGATAATTATAGTCGGAATCCTACAATCATCATCATCATCATCATCATCATCATACGAGGGGTTACGGGGGAGTTACGGGAGTTATGGGGAGTTACAGGGGAGTGGCGGGGGAGTTACGGGGTGTGACGGTGAAGTTACGGGATGTGACGGGTGAGGTACGGGGGAGTTACGGGTCTTACAGGAGAGTTGCGGAGGAGTTGCCGGGGAGTTACGAAGGGCTACGGGAGAGTTGCGGGGGACTTACAGGGGAGTTACGGGAGTCACGGGGGAGTTACGGGGTGTTACGGGGGAGTTAATTACGGGGGAGTTGCGGGGAAGTTACGTGGGGCTACGGGAGAGTTGCGGAGGAGTTACGGGGGAGTTACGGGGGTCTACGGGGGAGTTGCAGCTAGGGAGGTTACGGGGGAGTTTGTGGGTGGGTGGATGGTGGTGGATGGGGGAGTAACAGGGGAGGGGGTCCGGGGGAGTTAAGGGGGAGTTGCGTGGAAGTTATTCTAACCCGCAAATATTGAATGTCAACGGGTGATGTTAATATATACTGGGCCCTCCCTAAAATTGAATCTTCTCAGCTATTACATTTCACCCTTGAGGGTCTTTGTAACAAACAAAGTAACAGCAAACTCCGACTGAGAACAACGACATATCAGAGAATTCGTGATCGTGGACGACGCCAGCGTACAAGGTCAGATGAAGGTCGGTATTACTGTTGTGCCGCGAAATACGGAATTTATAATTAACTATGTTGAGCTCTAATTCTGACTCAACACAGGCTAAATATCATTACATGTTGCTGACATACGCTCAAGGGTATTCTCTCTCTCTCTCTCTCTCTCTCGCTCTCTCTCTCTCGCTCTCTCTCTCGCTCTCTCTCTCTCTCGCCCTCTCTCTCTCTCTCACTAACATATAGACCTGCAAATTGATGTCTAGTAGCCATGTATGTTAACTGTTTGGATCAATGAATTTGGGATATAACATTTTCAGATATTGCAAATTGGATATATTGTTATCAAGACACACTATATATATAGAATATAGATATAACTTACGTCAACTTCAGTGTATGCGTGACCAGAATGTTAAATACATGTATCTAAATATGTTTTGCCAGGCCTATGGTAAGAAAATTCGAAATCGGACATTTTGTACTTATCTCTTAATTGAGACCTACAGTGGGTACCCGGGTAGGGTCGGGTAGTTATCAAGACACACTATTTACTTAATCAAACTTTATTGATCACAATACGAACTATTTTGGAATGCGGACTATAAACACCGAGCACTGCCCACGTACCTTGGCCCGTGAAGCAAACATCATCTCTGATGGAGAATAAGGATGAACACATTGCTCAGTACCCACACACAGTAGTATGACACCACTAGTCTCTGCAATAAAAGCAATACTTTGTACATTTTGGTTGATGCATGCCATCGATCCCAATTGCGTGGATCGATACTCATGACATTAATTACTGGATTGTCTGGTCCAGACTCGATTATTTACAGACCGCCGTCATATAGCTGAGTGCGGCGTTAAACAACAAACCAACCAACCAACCAACAACATTTTATATATTCCGTTTACAAAACGAAAAATCGGTGATGACATGTGAAACAATACTGTACAACTTAAAACAATGTCTAAATACTCGATCCAATATGATTTCAGAGATCTTGAATATTTCCAGTGAGGTATTCGTTGTTTTCATAATATCACGCCTTCCGAAGTTGTCAGTGTTTCATTAAATTATATTAAAAAGCAAATCTATGTTTTATCTTGTATAGTTACTTTACAGTTATCTCGCTAGTTTTAACAGCTGTCCCTTTATCAAACGTAACACAATTTCCCAAACACTTGAGTTCACGTTGACCTAGTAAATTGCCAGTAAAGACCATCAACACTAGCGTGATGCATTTATCTCCCTTAGCCATACACGGACAATCAGTAACCATACAGATTGTTGAGTCTCGAATCATACAGGTTTTGTTTCCGCGGTCTGCCTTCGACAAGGATAAATCTGACCAATCAGCGATCCGGTCTTAACAGGCGAAAGGCTGTTTGCTAACACCACGTGACCTCCCTAGCCTGGCTTCAAGTAATATGGAGGATGGTTGCGAGCGGTCTCGAACACACATTTCTGCACTATTTCCTGAAATATTGGCCATGGTATTCAGTTATTTGGACACAAGAGATAAAGGACGGGTAGCTCAGGTATGTACCACTTGGCGAGACGCTGCTTATAACCGCATGGTTTGGCGAAAAGTTGAAGCGAAGCTACATCTTCGCCGTGCAAACCCTTCTTTGTTTCCAAGCCTTGTGAAGCGTGGCATACATCGAGTCCAAGTTCTCAGTTTGAGGCGAAGTCTCCGAGATGTCGTGCTAGGAATACCTGGTCTAGAAAGTTTAAATCTCAGTGGTTGTTACAATATAACTGATTTCGGACTGAGCCATGCGTTCGCACAAGAACTAGCGTCCCTGACAGTGCTCAACTTAAGCCTATGCAAACAAGTGACCGACTCCAGCTTAGGAAGAATAACTCAATTTTTGAAAAACTTGGAAGTGCTTGAACTGGGTGGGTGTTGTAATGTGAGCAACACAGGACTTCTACTCGTGGCAGTCAGTTTACGAAAACTGAAAAGTTTGAATTTACGAAGCTGTCGCCACATATCTGATCAGGGTATAGGATATCTTGCTGGGCTGTGTCACAAGTCGGCGTGTGGGAACCCGGAGCTTGAACACCTGGGCCTACAGGACTGCCAGAAGCTGACTGATCAAGCTTTGAAACATGTGAGTCTCGGCTTGACAACTCTCAAGACTATTAACCTTTCATTCTGTGGCAGTGTGACAGACACAGGTATAAAATACCTGTCAAAAATGCTCAGTTTGAGAGAACTTAACCTCCGGAGTTGCGACAACATCAGTGATAATGGATTAGGCTATTTGTCTGAAGGTGGGTCAAGAATAACATCGTTGGATGTGAGTTTTTGTGACAAAGTTGGCGACCAGGGACTATATTTCCTCTCCCAAGGACAGCTAAGTTTGCGGAATTTGAGCCTAAGTGCTTGCAATATCAGCGACGATGGAATCAACCGTCTTGTTAACACATTGCAAGAATTAAAAACACTGAATATTGGACAGTGTGTGAAAATTACAGATAGGGGACTCAGTTTGATTGGTGCAAAAATGCGCAATTTGCGATCTATAGACCTGTATGGCTGTACACGTATCACGACTGTTGGGCTGGAGAAGATCATGCAGCTACCCAGTTTGGACACCCTCAATCTAGGTCTGTGGCACAAGAGGTGATGACCTGTGTCAAGATGCCATGACCTTTGACATTGCTAGCCCCAGGCTATGACTGCCTGTTCTGTAGACAGGGTACTGAAGGAATGCCGGGAATGTCACATGGTGACAGGTGAGATGTGTGGTGCCCCTGATGTCTGGATATTATCATTTGCCTCTATCAGAAGCTCTTTAATCAAATGTGGAAATGATAAGATGCCGATGTTTCAAACATTGTACCTGAACCTAATCAAAACAAGAAGTTTTCAAATGGTCAGAAATATGTGACAAAAAGACATTGTGATGAACGACACCTTACGGTGCTAGAATCAATGAGGTGGCCTCACTAGAAAGTGCTAAAGACAATTTGCTCACGTGTCCCTGTACTCCCGAGGATGTAAAATGTTTGCTGATCGTGGAGTGACACTCTTCCAAAGATGTATGAACAGAAATATATATATATATATGATTTTGTAATGAAATAATTTCAAAACTATATGTGTGTCATTGATTTGTTTCATCTTCGTGTTCATAAAAACCTGTGCCACTTTTCATGAATACCTGTGCTATGCGGGTTTAATCAGTGTTCATGAAAACCTGTGCTACACAGTCATCATTAGAAATTTTGCAAAACTGCCCAATAGTTAAGATATCATTAGGACTAGTAGAAAATTCTGAAATTTGCTCTTTTTAAGGGTTTTGCTATATTTTATCAATATAGGGAGGCGACTATGCTTGTCGTAAGAAGCGACAAACAAGATCAGGTGGTAAGGCTCGCTGACTTGGTTGATGCATGTCATCGTATCCCAATTGCGTGGATCGATACTCATAATGTCAATCACTGGATTGTCTGGTCCATACTCGACTATTTACAGACCAACGTCATATAGCTGGAATATTGCTGAGTGCGGCTTTAAACAATAAACAAACAAAAATGTAATCGTTGTTAATGAATACATGTGCCATGCAGATGTAACTATTGTTAATGAATATCAGGGGTAGAAACTAACAGTTTTAGTCAACTAGTCCTTATAATGTTAACAAATGGCAAAAACCCTTAAGAATGGCAAATTTTTCTACTAGTCCTAATGATACCTCAACTCTTGGACAGTTACAGGTACAGACTACAGGACAAATGCCAATTTCTAACACTGAATACATGTGCCATGTGGGTGTAGTCATTGAATACCTGTGCCATGAGGGCGTAATTGTTGTTCATGAATACCTGTGTCACACCGGTGTAATCGTTCATGAATACGTGTGCCATGTGGGTGTCATCGCTGTCAATGAATACCTGTGCCATGCGGCTGTCATCGCTGTCAATGAATACCTGTGCCATGCGGGTGATACCGCTGTCAATGAATACATGTGCCATGCGGGTGTCATCGCTGTCAATGAATACCTGTGCCATGAGAGTGTCATCGCTGTCAATGAATACATGTGTCATGCGAGTGTCATCGTTGTCAATGAATACCTGTGTCATGCAGGTGGTGTTGTCAATGAATACCTGTGTCATGCAGGTGGTGTCAATGAATACCTGTGTCATGCGGGTGAAATCATTTTTCACGAATATATGGAACACATGTGCCCTGTGAGGGAAATACTTTTTCATGAATGTGTATGCCATGCGGGTGAAATCATTGTTCATGAATACATGTGTCACATCAATGAAATCATTGTTTTTATTAATACCTGTGCCATGCACGTGTCATCGTTAATGAATACATGTGCCACATGGGTGTAATCATTGAGGAATACCTGTGCCACATGCAGCGTTAGAAATTGGCACTAGTCCTATAGTCCTTGCCAAACTGCCCAACTGTAAAGGTATCATAAGGACTAGTAGAACTTTGCCCTTTTTAAGGGTTTTGCTATATGTTATCATTATAAGGACTAGTGGCCGAAAACTGTTAGTTTCTAACCCTGCACATGGGTGTAATCATTGTTAAGGAATACCTGTGCCAGGTGGGTGTAATCATTATTAAGGAATACCTGTGCCACATGGGTGTAATCGTTAAGGAATACCTGTGCCACGTGGGTGTAATCGTTAAGGAATACCTGTGCCACATGGGTGTAATCATTAAAATATCTTTGTCACATGGGTGTTATTGTTGTTAAGGAATACCTGTGCCAGGTGGGTGTAATCATTATTAAGGAATACCTGTGCCACATGGGTGTAATCGTTAAGGAATACCTGTGCCACGTGGGTGTAATCGTTAAGGAATACCTGTGCCACATGGGTGTAATCATTAAAATATCTTTGTCACATGGGTGTTATTGTTGTTAAGGAATACCTGTGCCACATGGGTGTAATCATTAAAATATCTTTGTCACATGGCTGTTATCGTTAAGGAATACCTGTGCCACATGGGTGTAATCATTAAAAAATATCTTTGTCACATGGGTGTAATCATTATTAAGGAATACCCTGTGCCACATGGGTGTAATCGTTGTTAAGGAATACCTATGCCACATGGGTGTAATCATTAGAATATCTTTGTCACATGGGTGTAATCATTATTAAGGAATACCTGGGCCACATGGGTGTTATCGTTGTTAAGGAATACCTGGGCCACATGGGTGTAATCGTTAAAATATCTTTGTCACATGGGTGTAATCATTATTAAGGAATACCCTGTGCCACATGGGTGTAATCGTTAAAATATCTTTGTCACATGGGTGTAATCCTTGTTAAGGAATACCTGTGCCACATGGGTGTAATCGTTAAAATACCTTTGTCACATGGGTGTAATCGTTAAAATATCTTTGTCACATGGGTGTAATCATTATTAAGGAATACCCTGTGCCACATGGGTGTAATCATTGTTAAGGAATACCTTTGTCACATGGGTGTAATCGTTGTAAAGGAATACCTATGCCACATGGGTGTTATCATTGTTAAGGAATACCTATGCCACATTGGTGTAATCGTTAAAATATCTTTGTCACATGGGTGTAATCATTAAAATATCTTTGTCACATGGGTGTAATCATTATTAAGGAATACCTATGCCACATGGGTGTAATTGTTAAAATACCTTTGTCACATGGGTGTAATCGTTGTTAAGGAATACCTATGCCACATGGGTGTTATCGTTAAAATACCTTTGTCACATGGGTGTAATCGTTAAGGAATACCTGTGCCACATGGGTGTAATCATTAAAATATCTTTGTCCCATTGGTGTAATCATTATTAAGGAATACCTTTGTCACATGGGTGTAATCGTTGTTAAGGAATACCTGTGCCACATGGGTGTAATCATTAAAATATCTTTGTCCCATTGGTGTAATCATTATTAAGGAATACCTGTGCCACATGGGTGTAATCGTTGTTAAGGAATACCTGTGCCATATGGGTGTAATCGTTAAAATATCTTTGTCACATGGGTGTAATCGTTGTTAAGGAATACCTGTGCCACATGGGTGTTATCGTTGTTAAGGAATACCTGTGCCACATGGGTGTAATCATTGTTCATGAATTGAATACCTGCGCCATGCAGGTGAAATCATTGTTCAGGAATAACTGTCACACAGGTGTATTGTCTATTAATTCATGTGCCACACTGGTTTTGACGTTGTTAATGAATACCTATGCAACACGGATGTAGTCCTTGAAGAAGACATGTGCCATACGGATGTAATTGTTCAGTGTCCAAAATAACTGCCTGCCCACCTGCCTGTCGCCTTTCGCTGGTATTTTTTATGTTGGTCTGTGGGAAAATTTCTTCACCTGTCCGACTGTCTGGCGGATAATTTTAAGACTACTTATGTATTATACTATTAAGTTTTATCATAACTCGTTGTAGATTCTCAAGTTCGCATTATTTCAAATGAACCAAGAGATGATTTGACATGTGGGTGTCATTGTTATCAATGAATACCTGTGCCATGTGGGTGTAATCGTTCATGAATACCTGTGCCAGGTGGGTGTCATTGTTATCAATGAATACCTGTGCCATGTGGGTGTAATTGTTCATGAATACCTGTGCCGTGTGGGTGTAATCGTTCATGAATACCTGTGCCAGGTGGGTGTCATTGTTATCAATGAATACCTGTGCCATGTGGGTGTTATCGTTGTCAATGAATACCTGTGCCATGTGGTTGTCATTTTTGTCAATGAATACCTGTGTCATGAGGGTGTATTCGTTCATGAATACCTGTGCCATGTGGGTGTTATCATTGTCAATGAATATTTGTGCCATGTGGGTGTAATTGTTCATGAATACCTGTGCCGTGTGGGTGTAATCGTTCATGAATACCTGTGCCATGTGGGTGTCACTGTTATCAATGAATACCTGTGCCATGTGGGTGTTATCGTTGTCAATGAATACCTGTGCCATGTGGTTGTCATTTTTGTCCATGAATACCTGTGCTATGAGGGTGTAATCGTTCATGAATACCTGTGCCATGTGGCTGTTATCGTTGTCAATGAATATTTGTGCCATGTGGGTGTAATTGTTCATGAATACCTGTGCCATGTGGGTGTAATCGTTCATGAATACCTGTGCCATGTGGGTGTCATTGTTGTCAATTAATACCTGTGCCATGTGGGTGTCATTGTTGTCAATGAATACCCTGTGCCATATGGGTGTTATCGTTTAAATACCTTTGCCACATGGGTGTAATCATTGTTAAGGATTACCTGTGCCACATTGGTGTGATGTTGTTAAGGAATACCTGTGCCATGTGGGTGTCATCGTTGTCAATGAATACCTGTGCCATGTGGGTGTTATCGTTGTCAACGAGTACCTGTGCCCTGTGGGTGTTATCGTTCATGAATACTGGTGCCATGTGGGTGTCATCGTTGTCAATGAATACCTGTGCCATGTGGGTGTTATCGTTGTCAACGAGTACCTGTGCCATGTGGGTGTTATCGTTCATGAATACTGGTGCCATGTGGGTGTCATCGCTGTCAAAGAATACCTGTGCCATGTGGGTATCATCATTGTCAACGAGTACCTGTGCCATGTGGGTGTTATCATTCATGAATACTGGTGCCATGCGGGTGTCATTGCTGTCAATGAATACCTGTGCCATGTGGGTGTCATCGTTGTCAACGAGTACCTGTGCCATGTGGGTGTTATCGTTCATGAATACTGGTGCCATGCGGGTGTCATTGCTGTCAATGAATACCTGTGCCATGTGGGTATCATCATTGTCAACGAGTACCTGTGCCATGTGGGTGTCATTGTTGTCAATGAATACCTGTGCCATGTGGGTATAATCGTTGTCAACGAGTACCTGTGCCATGTGGGTGTCATTGTTGTCAATGAATACCTGTGCCATGTGGGTGTTATCGTTGTCAACGAGTACCTGTGCCATGTGGGTGTTATCGTTCATGAATACTGGTGCCATGTGGGTGTCATCGTTGTCAATGAATACCTGTGCCATGTGGGTGTTATCGTTGTCAACGAGTACCTGTGCCATGTGGGTGTTATCGTTCATGAATACTGGTGCCATGTGGGTGTCATCGCTGTCAAAGAATACCTGTGCCA